TTCTCTCTTGAAAAAAGCAAACCCAAAGCTGAGAAAGAAGAGAAAGGCATGGATGACAAGGGGACACGGACAGAGTTGCTTCCAATTAAGCACCCTTAATTCCTTTCAGAGGGATGGTGACTGATAAAATTAACTGAGGGTTTAAGTACAGTTGCTAATAGTTATATTCTGTATAAACGTGAAGCTCCTCTCAGTAACTTACAGCTCTATTAGTGGTGTAGGCCATCACAAACCAACAAATACATGGCACATATGCAACCTTTTCTCATCTTTCTGAAAGAGGGTTAGCACCTGCTACCTTGGTATGCTGCAAAAAGGGCTGATTGCTATAGCCTGTACCTTTTAATCGGGTAACTAAGCTCCTCTGCCAACACCATAGTCTGCCAAAAGAAAGTGAAGCTTAAGGCTTTCTCTATCCAAATCCTGTCTCGGACAGAGAAGAAATACAAAATAAATTTCTACAGACAATATGAACAGTTTTATTAACTAATGGTATGCCTTTTTTTAATCAGGTAACAATGCTGCTGTCAAGTAGCTGCCCTGCAGGAACAGCAGGACTACAAAACAGTGAAAAGTTTGAGAGGTTTTAGTCATCAGCATGCACTGAAGAGAAACTTCCCCACTACTTAGACCCGCGGAAACAGAGAAACCTCCATGTATCACTTACCTCTCGGCACTCCCTTTTTGTTGTATTTCTTTGAGTCTGTCCACAAACTCAGCAAACTTCATCTCTTCCCTGCTCGACTTGGGTTTGAAGTTCTTAAAATTGGCCATCTTCTTCTCATCATAGTACAGAAACTTGTGTGTGCTGGCACTATATACTGAGAAGTCCCCATTGCCAATGTTTTCCTGGAGGTAGTCCAGGTCCCATTTCAGAGCAGGATAAACCAGATTTGTATCTGTCAGCACCACTGGCTCCTGGAGAGAAACAGGAAGTTTATTGATGCAAGGACCTCTTGAACTCCAGAATGATGACATTCATTATTGCAACCACACAAACTCTCTTCGATAACAGGGAATTGGAAAAGGCATTTAGAGTAATCAGATACCTTGGTCTGGGGAGAAAAACAAGCAGAACATGAAAGGAAGCTTAAAGAAAGCAGTGGCCTGCTCCTACAGTAAGCCCCTGGTAGCAATGGGACAGATTCTGTTATCTACTTAGCTAATCTCTAACACATGAGCTTAGACAAACACTAGCTAGGAACAGTTTTTGGCCTACTTAGTCCTGCCACGTAGCAAGGAGACAGAGCAGATTCTGTCTGGTCACTTCCAGCCTCAGCTATGAAGGGGTAAACGCTGGCAGAAGGATACTGCTGAATCCAGAAACAAAAAAGCACTTATCTCTTTCCTCAGAGGATCACAGATAACCTTCAGCCACTGAAAAAAACTGCGATTACCCCATCTCTTCTACACCATACAAAGAATGACTACAAAGGAAGGCAAAGGACATCAGCTACATCCTCACCTATAGACAGTAAGCAACCTAAACAAGAATGACAGCTGCTGTGCTTCCAAGCTGTGCATGCACAACTTCCCTTCTTGCAGGCTTTCTTAAAAAAAAAAACCAAAAACAACAAACCAAAACCAAACAAAAAACAACTAGCAGTCTTACCAAAACTAGATTGAGCTTGTCCAAAACCAATACAAGAGCGGCTACTGCAAGGCAACCTTCACATCTGCGGCCACTCTCAGTTAGAAAATAACGAACTCATGCCCGTGGTTTTACACAACATTTCCACGATTTCCATCCGGACAACAAAGCACTTAAAGCCAACTTTTCCTGCAAGTTTCACAACTCAACACGGTGGCACCGGAAAGAAACATCCACTACAACTAAGAGCAACGGGGCAGCAGCA